CGGCTGCTGCTACTGCTGCTGCTGCTGCTGCTGCTGCTACTGCTGCTACTGCTACTACTGCTGCTACTGCTGTTACTGCTCCTGTTGCTGTTGCAGCTACTGCTGCTACTGTTGCTGCTGCTGTTCCTGTTGCTGCTGCTACTACTGCTGCTACTGTTGCTGCTGCTGCTACTGCTGCTACTGTTGCTACTGTTGCTGCTGCTGCTGCTACTGCTGCTACTGCTACTGCTGCGGCTACTACTACTGTTGCTACGGTTGCTGCTGCTGCTGCTGCTACTAGTACTGTTGCTGCTGTTGCTGCTGCTGCTCCTGCTACTGCTGCTGCTGCTGCTGCTACTGCGGCTGCTTCTACTACTGCGGCTGTTGCTACTGCTGCTGCTACTACTACTTCTGGTACTGCTGCTACTGCTGCTGCTGCTGCTGCTGCTACTGCTGCTAGTAGTAGCGCTACTGCTGCTACTAATGTTGCTGCCTATGCGCTGATGCTTTCACAAAATAACGGACAGTCTCTCATTACAGATCTCTTCGTCTGATGGCTGGCGAGTGAATGACACGCGCGGGCGTGCGAGCATGCGTGCCTGCGTGCGAGCGTGCGTATACACCACCCATACACGTATTGTGAAGTGACTACGGACGCGTCGTCGTGAAAGTGTTATTGTGTTTTTTTGTGGCGACCGCGAAGATACAGCTGGGCAGTTTCGTCGCAGGGTCAGCTGTCGTCCTGCGTGAAAGCGGATAATACGCTTGGATACATACACGTGACAAACAATAAACATCGTATAAATATGTAAGGCGAGCAATACTAAGGAAGGCAAGCTGTTCCTGTGCTCCGCTCTCGCATATCTCTCTGCTCTCTCTCTCTCTCTCTCTCTCTCTCTCTGTCTCTCTCTCTCTCTCGCTCTCTCTCTCTCTCTCAATATATATATATATATATATCCGCGCGCACTCTCTCTCTTTCTGTTTTTTTCTTTCTTTATCTTTATCCGTTTTCTCTCATCTTTCTTGCTCTCTCTATCTATTTCCCTCTACCTCCCTCTCTCGTCTTCACTCTTGCTCTCAGCTTCTCACTCACATTCTCTTCCTCCTATTTTGCTTCCGATCACATCTATCTCTCGCGCGGTCGGTTTCTTTCTCTCTCCTTTACTGTCGCGGTCCGAACGCACGCTCGCTCGTCCTTCGACGTGACGTCATCACACCGTGGAGCCTCGCGTCTGTGTGAAACAGATATTAGTGATATACGTGGTGGGGCGCTGCGAACGTTGCGATCTGATGTCGCGGACCAGCGGCAACGTTGTCGTCCTCG